ATCCTGCAGAGCTTCACCCTCCAAGCCCCCGGCTCCCTGCCGGACATGGGCGCCCCACCGCAAGCCAGCGGCTTTGTCCGCGCTCCACCCAGCTACGGGCTCTGTGCGGTGCCCCGCGGGGCAGGCAGCGAAGCGAGCGAGGAGCCCCCCAAAGATCGTCCGCAGGAGGAGGGGCGGGTGGGGGGGTCTCTCCCGAACCCCAGCAATGGAAAAATAGGCCTGTTGCTGTCCGGACACGGTGGGGCCAAGAGGCTGTTTCCGGGAGGAGCAGGTGGTGGAGAGAGGAATCCGGGATTTCTTCAACGCTCTGCGAATGTACCAGACTCAGTCCCTGCGAGCCCAGGAGGAATCAAACAGCAGGGAGTTCCTTTGCTACCGATCCCATGCCTCTTTCGGACAGCCCTCCGCCCCCAACGCAATCACGCGCCTTCCCTGACTTTCATCGGCCTGGTTTCAGACCCGTTCACCATCCTTTGCTCTGCAAATCCACAATGTTTGCAGCCCCGCCCAGCTGGGAGCCACCCACAAACAGAGCCGGCCTTCCCCAGAGCAGAATACAACGTCGCGTCGGGCACCTGAAAATGTGGGGCACCGCTGGGTCCTAATGGCCACCCATCCGCCTCTTTCTGTCCCTGTTCTCTGGCTCTGCTTCTTCCAAAGAGGAGCTAGTTAATGCACAGAGCCCTTAGCAGATACTGAACCTGTGAAACAGCCACTGGAGTGGTAACGAAGCCGTTTAACGGGCAGGTACAGACGGTCAGTTTCATCAAACGCTATGAGCCAAGCCCACTGAATTAGCCTCATTCCCACAGGTCCAGGGATTTCTGCCGCTGTTCTGTAGCTCTCTTGGGTTCTGTTATTTTCACTCCAGCTCACCGGAGGAAGTGGGTTTTGCTCATGACTTGCTGTATTTTGGTTTGTCGCTAAGAAGCTACTTGGTGATTTTACTGCGTGAGGCGACAGGCTCTTGGGTTAAAATTGACTTGAAACGATTTCATTGGCGTGTGGCTGAAGGTTATAAAAATGCAGCCATAAAAAAAGTTCCTCCCGGCTTCCATCGCATTATAGGACTGCGTAGGGCCCCGTAAATCCGAAGGATGGTCCTGCCCTCCCGATCTCTCCGCTGCCTTCTCCAAGCGGCTGAGGAAACATCGAATGGCACCGGGCCCAGGGCTGGCTTCTAGCTTTGACCTCCCAGTTTGCCAGCAAGCCCCTGAGGCTGAATGCAGCCATAAAAAAAGTTCCTCCCGGCTTCCATCGCATTATAGGACTGCGTAGGGCCCCGTAAATCCGAAGGATGGTCCTGCCCTCCCGATCTCTCCGCTGCCTTCTCCAAGCGGCTGAGGAAACATCGAATGGCACCGGGCCCAGGGCTGGCTTCTAGCTTTGACCTCCCAGTTTGCCAGCAAGCCCCTGAGGCTGCCTTGGGTGCGCGCCCGCCGCATCGGAACTTCTGCAAGGCCACGTACGGGACTGCGTCAAAGCCAAGACCGCGCCCGTCTGCGCCTTCCGCCCGCCACTGAGCCAGCGACCCTACGCGGGAAGGGCAGGAGACGGGCTGAACGGAGCTGTCACCCCCACCCCCAGCCCCAGAATTCAGTTTCCATCTGGCAGGTTGGAATTTATTCACCGAGCAGCAGCAGCCTGAGCAACTCTGGTGTGCTTCATCGGCCGCCAAGCCAGGGTGCCACGGTGCCCCAGGAAGACGGGCAGCCGCCCCGTGCCTCGGTTTCCCCTGCTGTAAAACGAGGTTAATCGTTCGGTGTGGCTGTGAAATTGACAGCAAGGAAGGGCTGGTTCCACGTTGCCGCCGTTCTGGGACACAACAAACCCCTTTTGAAGTGGCGTCTCTTCAGATGGACCCCGCAGGCGGGGGGCCGGGGGGCCGGGCGTCCCTGGCAGGTGATGGCCAAGGGCATAGGTCTAGTAACTAGCTCTGCGTAGTCTCTAGACCAGTGGTCCCCAACGCGGTGCTTGCGGGCGCTATGGCACCCACCGGGGCATTTATGTGCGCCCGCTGAACCATCTGGGCCAGCCCCGCACCCAGGCGCCTGAGCAGCCCCGCCCCCGGCGAACCGCACATGAGGGGCCCCACCCCCAGGCACCCGGCAACCCCAAAAGGTTGGGGACCCCTGCTGTAGACCAGTGTTTCCCCACTAGTGGGACGAGTCTCCTTAGGGGGACTGGGGAGAGGTCTGGGGGGTGACAATGGAAAGTGTAAAAACTGAAGTTTGGGGTTTTTACTCTTATTTTTGTAATTTTTACACCCCAAACTTTCCTCACCTGCCCGGCTACGATTAAGTTGTTTAAACAAATGGGTTGCCATGGTAGAAAAAAAACCGTGTGTGTGTCTGAAACCTGCAGGTCCTGGGAGTACTTGAATGTTTGTAACAGGGTGAGAAACTCTGCCCTAGAGTCAGAGGGCCCCGTGTGTCGCCCTAGTGACCCACGGCAGCGCCCAGCGGGGAAAGGGCCGCCCCCCGCACACACCTGGCCCAGGAATTGATCCTCACGTCAGCGATTAAGGGGGGGGGGGTTCAATGAACTAACCCGCCCCCGGTCGGAAAACGCTGCTTGATCACAACAAACCCTTCCCCGGAAATGTCTCCGCTTCGGCGGCGCTTTCCTCGGTGGGATTCCCGGGGGAGCCGGGGGTCAGCCCCACGGGTACAGAGCCCCCCGCTCCAAGACGCTGCCGCTGACCTTTGCCCCTGGCTCCGCCGTGTCCCGGCGCTCACCCCTGGTGTCAGGAACGGTTTCCAGAGCCCCAGTTTTCCAGCTGCCGAAAGCCCCGCGTGGGAATCCGGCTGGACCGGCGGCCTGGGCCGAGTTCTCTGGGAAGCGGTTCGCTAGCAGGGAGCCTCCGGGCTTGTGTCCCAGGCGCTGAAGACGCTGCCGCTGACCTTTGCCCCTGGCTCCGCCGTGTCCCGGCGCTCACCCCTGGTGTCAGGAACGGTTTCCAGAGCCCCAGTTTTCCAGCTGCCGAAAGCCCCGCGTGGGAATCCGGCTGGACCGGCGGCCTGGGCCGAGTTCTCTGGGAAGCGGTTCGCTAGCAGGGAGCCTCCGGGCTTGTGTCCCAGGCGCTGTGTTTTAACTCGCCCCGGCCCCTCTCTTAGCCCAGGATCCCCCCCCCCGCCGCACCAGGGC